CTGTCCAGGTGTCCCTGCGATGGACTGGAAATCTGTCCAGGTGTCCCTGCGATGGACTGGAGACCTGAACTTCTTCTTCGTGGACTTTGTTAGACCGGTCTGAAGAAGGCGACTGGTTCTCCCGTGTCTCTGTCAACGACGACAAATTTGAGACGTGCTTCGTCTGAAAGTCTCCATCTGGCGTAGAAACCTGGAGGTCGTGCTGAACTCAGCAACACATCAGGAATGCGGCAGATTGACGAAGGCCAAATGCTCCTGATGCGACGTCCACAGAGTTCCTGCGCCTCAGCGCTCATGGTGCGTGCAGAAAGAAAACACGGGGCTGTGACCTCCGACAGACTCCATCGTCTGCTCCCAAGAAATCCCTGCTGAATATTTGAAATGCTTGTGGTGTTGCAGAGCGACACGGAGAGTCTGGAGAGAGGAAACTGGAGGAGTCTGACAGGGAGGAGGATTTTCTGACAACTGCTGCTCAGAATGTTGAAAAATAAGAACAGAGGACGTCGCACTGAAGCGTTTTCAGTTCATCGGCTTTGTTTTTAGAGCCAACGGACACGACTTAGACAAAACTGGACTAAATTTTACCCTCGAATTGTCTTTAACCGCTTAAATATTAACATTTTAAAATATTTTCTTCTCTTTTCTTTAGAGCCGTCTCAGCCTGAAATTAAAAAACATCTAACTTAAAAGATTTTTACTTATTTTTACTCTTTAAGGGTCTTTTGTTACCACAACAACAACAACTCCACAGTTCAGGTCTTTAAAAAGACATTTCACTCATTTGGATGCACAAAATGATTTTTGGATTTTTTTTAAATTCCAGTCCAGAGTTTTGTGAAGACCGTGCAGCCCACCGGGCCCATGAGGCCTCGTTTTGGGTCAAACATACTCTCACGTCTCCTGGTTCTCACAAATTAACATTTTTCTAATCATTTTTTCTTTCATTTTTTAAATAATATTTTAAAATATATATTTTTAAAGCTCTACCCATGGTAGAAACCATAGACGTTGCATTAATTATATATGAAGGGGACGCGCCCCCCCACATTTATCAAGTATTAATTTGGAACTTTTAATCCCATATTCATGATGAATATGGGATTAAAAGTTGTATTTCAGCGTAATTTAATGTGGACAATGAGGAACACGAGTGTAGTAAAGTTACTGCCAGGTTATGAGCATTTCAACAAATTCTGACAAAAAGAAAATAAAAAAGGTAGAAGGATTTTTATGCTGCGTTAGCAAAAAGAAAATAGAATAGAATAGAAACAGCCTTTATTGTCCCACGGATGGGAAATTCCAGTGTATCAGCAGCAACAGATAAAAAAAATCACGTTTATTGACTGAAACAAAATTTAATAAATCAAAACAGACAAAAATGAATGTGTGACTGAGTTTTCCCTAAAATACAACACAAGGGTCAATTACATTTAAGAAAATTACGAAAATTTAAATGTGAAATATTTAGAGCTCAGACAAGAAACTGTCCACAGACGGACGGACCGTGCCACGGCATAATGTCCTAAACTAATAAGGAAACTAATAGAAATATGACTTCTGTTGTTTTTGTGCTCTGAATTCAACAATTTTACGTCAAGAGAACGTCTCACAAAGGAACAAGCAGCGTGGATTCTATTGTCCAACATCCTTAAAACTAAATAAAAACTACAATTAGAGTAAAGTCTTTGCATTAATTAAAGAGCAGGCTGCACCACGCTGCCCTCCCCGACCCAGAGAAGCTTCATAAATTATGAGCGTAGAGCTTTAAGAGGCAGCCGACAGCAGAACAATACGACCCTGAAACAACGACGGGTTCCGCTTTCTATTTGGGCTTCAACGGGAAAAAATATGCAGGAAATTCTGCAGTAGCTGCTCTCATTAGGAGCTCAAAATCTTTTCTGACTTGATAAAAAAAACAGAAGTGAGTTTTTGGACCACAGGAGGAAGTGTTGGAACCAGCAGCTGAGAAGACGTCTGGAGCGAGAGCAGCTACAAAATCTGCAGTCAGCAAACCAAACTGCTGAAGAGGCAAAGACTCGTCAGAGGAAGAGACAGGACAACACTGAGGTCCACGTTTAAACATCACCGCCTTTTAACGAAGAATTATCAACATTCAGGACATAATGACCCCAGTCTGTGGAGTCGAAGAACAACTGGACTTCTTTCTGAGGCTTAAAACGTTTTGGTTCTCAATTTAAACAAACATGACATTCCAAGAAGATATATTTAGTAGTACTCTTATTTTAAACTGAACTCCTTCTGAGGATGAGGCCCTGATCTGTCGATCCATGTCCCGCTCCACCCTACCATCACTCAGGAACAAGATGCCCAGATACCCGAACTCCTCCACCTGAGGCAAAGACTCCCACCTGACCCGGCCGCCAACTCGTATACTTCATCTCTGTATATAATTCATAATTGTTTGAAATCAGTTCTATTACTGTAGTGTCATCTGCAAGATTAATTGTGGTGTTTGTGGAGTAAATGGGTATAACTGTGTATAGAGTACAGCATCGGGCCGAGTACACGACCCTGCGGCACTCCCGTGCAGTGTGTTAGACTGGTGAAAATATTAGTACACAGTTTCAGTGTCTGCAAGCGTTTGGAAAGGAAGTGCTAAATCCACATTAACTGCATGTTACTGAGACTAGGGACGGGGCTGATCCGATCCGGTATCGGCCTCCAATACCAGCATAATTTACGTATCGGATTTTTCCAATCCACGATGAATGTTTGCTTCAAACTATGGAATGGATTTCCTGAACGGCGGCGTGTCTCATGAACCCAGAGTAATAAGACCCGCCTCACATTCAGGAAATCCAGTCCATAGTTTGCAGCAGCTACAACGTGAGGACTGAGTTAGCAGCACTGTGGCTAACAGCTAACAAACTTTTCATCTAAACATGTCCGCTGTGTGGAAGTATTTTACACTAAACACCACAAAACAAGACGGCAACGTGCACTGTCTGCAGAGCCACAGCGCCACATTAAACCACGGTAAAGTTAGTTTTACGATGGACATTCGAGCTCCGGGGCTTCAGCGGTCTGCTCCTCTTGCTCAGTCCGCAGCAGGCAGTTTGATTTCAGCCAGCCCCACTCAATCTACCCATCTCAGAGGAGGGGCAGACTGAAATCAGGCTGCCTGCTGCGGACTGAGCAAGAGGAGCAGACCGCTGAAGCCCCGGAGCTCAACTGTTTACAGAGAAGCAGCTAAACTTCATCATTAATGATCGACCACTATCAGTTGTAGAAAACAAAGGATTTCACAGCTTGATACTTGCAGCCAAGATCTAGTTTACCCTCCAGGAGATATTTATCAGTACAACAGTAAACAATCATAAAAAACACATGAATTGAAAATTACAAGAAAATTATATATAAAAAAAAACTAAACAAAAACAGCTACATTATAAAGTGATGTAAAATATTAAAAACAGGAACATGTCTGTTGGTTTATGTCGTGAACTTATCAGATGTTTAAAGACATTTAACATTTTATTTTATTCTTTTAAAAGAAACTAAATAAACAAAACAAAATCAAAACATTGAATGAAAATAGTGCAGAAAGAAGAAAAAAAATTATTACATCTCCCCCTTATTAAAATAATAACTTTAAACAATCACTTAAATTAATCACTAATATCCACTTTAAAGCTAGGAATAAAAAAAACATGTTTTGTGTTAGCAGGATTTAATTTTAACTTTAAAACTTATCCAATATTAATAAAACTTACCTCAAGTTGACTTTTTGTACATGCATGCATATATTTGTACACATTGTACTGAGAGCAGATTATTACAGCCTCATATAAAATCAATGATCATGATATCAGAACAGTATCGGTTTGACATCCACATTTAGGGATCGGGATCAGATCGAAACTAAAACAAAGTGGATCGGTGCATCCCTAACCGAGACCCAAACTAAGTAGTTTGGGCAGCTGAGCTGCAGAACCCCCTCTAAAGTAGAGCAGACGTTCTTACCTGAGCACAGAACACCTTTGTGCCGAGGGCAGGAGAAGTCGTCGCACTCGCAGAAGCTGCCGTAGATTTTGCCAAACTCGGACTCGTGGCACACGCACTGGTTGCAGCTACACTCGCCTCGTCCACTGCAGACCTGCTTACCCTCGGCTTCTCGACAGGAGCTGAGGTGCAGGCTGCTGGCATCGCCCTCCTGACACTCGCAGCGAGCGCCCAGGTAGCCTGGCTCGCAACGACAGGTGCCACAGTTGTACATACCTGCAGAGGGATAAGGAAGGCTGTCATGAATCAGCCAGTCGTTACACTCAACCAGACGGTGATACTAAACTTAATTCTCCTGGATGTTATGTTCTCCCCCTCCCCTACCTGCTCCCTTCCCCAAGGACATGGACCTGATCCAGAGCTCTACCTAGCTGGCTGATAAACACTGAACCATCTCTCATCAGGACTATGGCTGGAGGGTGGGGGGTGTTCTATCTGGACAGTGTTCGTGGACTACTTCCTCTCAAATTCACTGCCTTCGCTGGCCTCTCTCATTTGCCCCCCCGGTGCAGCAAACTAGTAGATGTGAAGGCGCCAGTGGCTGCGTCGCTCACTTGGGCAGACTGTGCTGGGACCCCCACCCTCACCCACATGCATGCGTCTTTGCATCACCGGTGTGTTGCTTTGTCTTGTCCTGAGGTTTTATACCTTCCTTTTCTTGAACTAAATGAAAAGGGCAGCGCTTCACACGAGGCTGCAGCCTCAGGCATCCCCGTCTACCCATGTTGTTTTCTTTGAAACTAATTTTCTCTCAGGACAGTTGCCGAGGGCATCTCTAAATGGTCCTGAGAGCCTTTAGGCTGCATTTTGAACCCTGCATGAGCTCCAGCTCTGACAGAAAACCAACAAGGTCAAGAAGCCAAGTCTAAGTTAATTATTGGAAAACTCATCCTAATCTGCACATCTTCACTTCTAAAGTGTACTCAAACTGATGTATTCTTAAACATGGGGGCCACTGCTAATTGGGTACAGTTTTGGGGAAGGTGTACAACAAAGTTATGCTCATGGCCCAGAGTCCACCTTTACAAGCTGTGCACATGAGAAAAACCCGCCATTTTCAAAAACTGGCCGTTTAAAATCTAGAAGAGCGCCGCTCCAGGTGTCTGCATGTTGCAGCAGCTCTACTTTCATTCTGAGATTTTGCTTTTGGAAACTTTAATTCCTCTTTTTCTGGATTTAAATCACATTTTCTGGATGACTGTTTCCTCTGGTATCAGATGCTGTGCAGCTGGAAGGATTTTTACTGAAACTTTTTTAGTTTTGGACGTTTGTTATGATGCGTAACCATGGCAACAAGGCAGTTTTCTACAACCAACAGCAGCTGAATAACATCTCAAAAGCTCAAATAATATCTCAACTACAGCCCCAAATCTCAAATGAGTTGAAAAGGAGGCTCCGCGGACGCACTCTCATCTACCTGCCAGCTGTGCTCGAGTGCTTGACCACCGAGATCCTGGAACTACCAGGAAACACGGCTCACGACAGCGGATAGACAGGATCGTCCATCAGCACCTACAGTTGGCTGTCCACAGCGACGAGGAGCTCGGCAGACTGCTGGGAGGAGTGGCCATCGCTCTGGGAGGAGTTCTGCTCTGCATTCAGGCGCCCGGGGGAACTGAGAGGCCAGCAGAGTCTGGGTGGACGGATCAGACGGCATCTGCAGCCAGTTTCTTAGGATCCACTGTGGGATGGACCTTTACAAGAGATCCTTCCTGTCTACAGCATCAGCATCTATAACATCTCTTAATGAAATGAGGATAACGAGTTACAACAATAAATAATTTCCCTCTGAGACTAATAAAGTATTTTTTAATTGAACTGAATTTCTGAGAAGTGTGACAACATTCTGTAGTGTTTTGAGACAACTTGTGGTTTTAATCGTGTTCTGTAACTTTTGGTCATCCTGCCATCAGTCTCATTCTGGACTCTGAACAGCTGAGGCTTCCTCAGATTCATTTTTGGACGTGTCCACAGCAGTGTTTCCCCTACCATTATACAAGCAGGGCGCCCCGCCCTGTCAACAGAACAGAGTGCCCCGCCTACCAAACCGAACTGCGCGCACTGCCCCGCCCATCGGCACTGACGTAGCACTAAGCTAGCAGCGTGCAATACAGGCGCGCAGCTACAAAGCTAAAGGCAGCATGATGCTGAACCCCCCACTCAAAAACTATCGATACAAACCGCGCGCAGTTCAGACGTGCCTCTGCCCCGCCCCCCACTCATCAACCCCACCCACCATACGTCATCCTGCCCACTTTGCTAAGCTCCACCCACCTGCAGGACTCAAACGACAGAACACAGTTGCTGACATGCAGGTGGCACTTTGAGTTAAGTTGAGTAACGATGTAAGACGCTGCCGTACCGACGGCGCTGCAGATGCTGCTGTTGGTCTGAGCGGTCCGGCTGCAGCCACAGTCACACAGGTAACTCACAGACACCTCCAGCTTGTCTTTGAAGCCCACGGGTTTGATGGTGAAGCTCTGGTCAGCACCATGGGGAGGGCAGCTCCTCGCCTCCACGCTCACGTTGAACGACACCTACCAGGAAGAGGGAAAACTGTGACTTCCTGTTTATCTGAGACATGACAAAGTGGGTCCACCCAGTTCTGATGTAGAGCTGGCGGACAGGACCAACGTCCTCCGATTACTCCGAGGAAGGAAGTTCCTACAGAACCAACCCAACCTCAGTCATGTTCATCTCTTTCAATGTGTTGAACCAGTGACCACCTTCTCCCTGGTTTGTTCTCCTGGTTTGGCTCAGAGCTCAAGTTCTCTAAACCCGGAGCGCTGTTCTAACTGCATCCATATCACATGCACACCCGTACCACATGCACACCAAACAAAGAAACAGTGCAGAATGATAGTGCTGAATACACTTTTAATTGGACTGAAAACCTGATCAAAAACTCTAGAACTACGGTCCAGCCCAGAGTCTACAGGTCTCAGTAAATCACATGAACATGTCAGAAGTCGTCTAGTTATGGAGAGAACCCTGGAAGAGCAAGTTCTCCACTCAGTCCAGCAACAGAAGCTGGTTCAGGACACAAAGCTGTAGATCACATGACACCCAGAACACCCCCCCCCCCCCCACTACTGACCCAACGAGCTTAATGAGTTAACGAGAAGTTTGGAAAGAACACAACGGGAAATGGGAATCTCGAGGATAACAGCCCCCCGTCTCATGGTTCAACGGGACAAGATGATAACGGGACAGGATTCATTCAACTTCATTCAACAATGAAGACAAAAAAAAAACATACTTTTACAAATCTGCTGAAATTATTGTGTGAACTACTAAAAACAAGACTCAGAAGAAGTTCTGGTCGGTTCTGAGGTTCAATAAACCAGTTCTGGACAGTTCTTTTGTTAAAAACCAGTTCTGGACAGTACTGGGGATAAAGAAACTAGTTCTGTGCTGTGCAAATAGTTCTAGACTGTTCTGGGTTTGGGACTGTGCAGCAGGAAATGAACGGTTTACACAAAGGTTAAAAATAGACTCATCTTGTGGCACAAAATGAAATGATGGAATTCTTTAAACCACCCAAGTTTACCATGAATTAGCCGAGTAAATGGGACAAAACCAAACTGCAGATAAGTAAATTCAAATGATTCTAATTTGTTTGGACAATGAAGCTTTTATTAAAATGGGACGAGCTCTGCTTGCTATAATTAACATGCACGAATCTATTCTGCGTGTTAGTGAAGCAGTGAAAACCCTGGCAGCTCAGCCCAGCCAGCATTTTTCCTGATGCCAACAGATTCCTTTCATGGCCTTCAGTTTCGCAGGCCTTCTCTCATGGCTTTTGTGTGAAGTCATTGAGATGCAGCTTTGGACTCAACTTGCAGCAAACTTGGCCCTTTCCTCAAAAAGGACAGAGAGCCTTGGCGCCCAGCAGACAGAGCTGCTACCCCGAGCACGAGTGGGCCCCATCGTGCAAGAGCTCCTTTTCATTCATCCAGACCGAATCAGCCTGAGCTCATCCATCTGTTCCCACCCCAAACCGCCAGGAAGAAGAACAAGCCTGCAATAAATAATCTGCAAGTGAAACAATGACAAAATAAATAAACCTTGTTGACTGGTGAGAGAGCGGATCAGGCTGGAAAGGATGTGCAGCAAGTTATGCTTGTTAAAGCTCTAACAAGTGAGGAGACCGTGACGGGAAGATGGAAGGAGTACTTTGAGGAGCTAATGAATGAAGAGATGTAAAGGGAAAGAAGAGTAGAGGTCATAGAAACCACTGGGAGCGGGAAAGATTAGTAACAGTGAAATTAAATTGTAATACAATCAAGGCCAGGAGCCAGAGAAATTACACATTCACTACAAACAAGCAAAGAGTACTTTTTCATTTTACAGTTAATTATACTGCAACTTATTAACAGTATCCAATAAAAGCAGAATATAACACAAAAAACATGTAAAGTCCCCTCGCTGCCTTTTATGTTGGTACATAAATTTGATCCAATCAAGCTGGACACTCCCAGGTCCCGTTGGTCCAAGATGAGGGGCGGAGTAGAAAAATCCCTTTATTTTCCAAGTTCTGCGTTTACCAGGGCTGTGGAGATTAACCAGATTAACTCTCGGACATGAACGTGCCTGAAGCGACTGCAGTTTGGGAATTAAATTTAGATGCGTCACTGCATCACGTCTTTGTACCAATAAAGTCTGATTTATTTATGACTAAACGTGAACACATTTATTGTAGAAACACTGAAAATGATTTAAAAAATGAAAATGTTACATTTGTGTATGAAGAGCACATCATCTCTCCATTCCTTCGTGTGGACATTCTGCTTCCAGCTGTTTAGTAGAACTATTTTCTCATTAGCGCCCCCTACAGTTCAGGAGGACTGCAGCGCCAGTATGAACAGCAACAAACACTGAAAGTGTGCTTCATCCCGATCTTAATATTCCAAGTTTTATGAAAATGTTTAGTTATTTTTAAATGAGGCCACTTTATATTGTGATAAAAGGTTGATTTAAATAATAATTAAACATTGAACTGTATTGTGAGGCCCAGTCGAATCAGAACCAAACACCGGCTCATATTGTGACTAAAGGCTGGTTCGAATCATATCCTCTCTCGTTATCTTCTGACCTGCATCGCTCAAAATTGTAAAATAACCTATATTTTTTAAATCGAAGCTTATTCTTTATACTTGTGAAAATCTTGTGTTGGAAACAAAAATATTTACCAGTACAACAGCTGTTGCTGAGGTGATCTCCTTAAAGGAGTGACAACAGTTTAAAGACGACACCAATCACCAGAACATGGACAGAAACTTGGGAGTCTGAAGGAAGTCATAAAGACTCTAAAACTCTAAAACTGCTTTAAAACTAAATGCTCTAAAACTGTTTCTTTCATTTCTCAGGCGTTTAACTGAAACCAATATGTGGATCCTGGAACAGGAAAGGCTCGTTCTGATTTATAGTCGGGCACTAAACACAGTCCCGTCTTATTTCTGGCGTGAACGTAAACATCAGGATGTCATTTGATGTTGTAGACGAGCTCTGCCGGCTCGTGACGTGCCGCAGCTCATTTAGACCTGTGATGAGTGTTTTTCTTCTTGAACACGAGTAAATAACTGGATGTTTGTCAAAGTGACACTGGTTCTGAAGACGATGCACAGTCACAGCCACGCTGGCCGAGCCCTCAACCGAACTCACCGTGTCTCCGATCTTTAGCTCGGTGCACTTCCTGAGGCCCGAGCGAGGCTTCCCGTCCTGGCAGGTGGCGGTGAAGGAAAGACTGATGTCGTCGGGGTGGTCCCACACCGTCAGCTCCACTTTAGAGCGAATGTTCTGAGCAGCACACACAAACACAAAGATGGTTCAAGACATCTGCAGGATTTCCATCAACCTCTCAAAGTCCTTGAATTCGTCAACTTCCTGTCACGACCCACAGTATTTGTGCTTGTGGGTCGGGGGGGGGGGCACAACTCTTCTCTGGTTTGGAGTATTTTTATGATTAATGTGAATGTAATGTAATATGTAATGTATTACGTAATAATGTAATGATTAATGCCGAGCATGAAGGCAGGTCGGATGTGTCGAGACGTGCAGATGATGAGCCCAGGCAGCGGGGCTGTTCAAACGTTCACGCTCACATGCACAAGCACTTCATGTTTGCTTCTGACAGAAAGTTGAAGAAACAAAGCAACTGGGCCGAGCCCCTCCCAGTGAGAAGAGGACAGCAGGATCTGGTCCGAGTTCTCACCCTCTCATTACTGCATCAGTGTGCACTTTACTCTTCTACAAGGATTACTTTTAATTATTATTGTTAAAATGCAACGAGCACGGTGAATAAATAAGACACGTGCACTCTGGACTGAACTGGTCCCGCCGACTCCCATTATGTGCACAGCTTTCTGATACAGTGGCCTCGGTTGTAAAACTAACATCTCAGATGAAAACAAGTCTTACAAAACGCCTTGACGAGCAGAAACGGATATTAAAATTTAAAAAGTACCAACAATATGCAACAAACAGCCCCGATGACCCATCAGAGTCCAAACGTGATAAAAACGTGTAAACAGGAAGTTCTGGAGGCTTCAGCGAGCCAGTCACGTAAACATAAAATGTGTGTTTTGAAAAGTCGAGATTCCTTCGTACAAAAAGCAGTTTGACAAAAAAAAAAAAAAAAACTGGATCTGTGCAGAAATAACTGAAATAACAAACAATTCACGACAAAAACAAAGAACTCAAACAAGTCCCATCTTCCAACAGTTCCCACCACCAAAGTCACTGTCCTGAAAGAACTTGTGCCTAAACACGCACGTCGGTGGCCATTTTGGATTTAGACGTGGTAACCCAGTTGTTGCCAGGGACCTTTCTCACACCTAGCTGCAGCGACACCAGAAGGGAAGTTGGCATGTTGCTTATTCTCCAAGTTATCCAGTTCACAGTGTTTACATATACACAAATATGGTGGCAGCCATCTTGGAATTTGGCGTGGCAGCCCAATTTTTGAAGGGAACCTTTCCGACACTTAAATGCAGCCACACACCAAAATGGAAGTTGGTACCTCACTTTCTTTTAAGTTATTGTGCTCACAAGACAGACGGAGGGTGACATGTGGCAGCCATTTTAAAAATTTGATTTGATGGCAATATGCGTCTGGGTTTGCTCTAAGCTACCAACACACCACATTTCAGATCAATATCTTTTAAAATAGCTGTTATTTGTTTGCAAATCGTGTCACCGTGGTAACTCTAAATACAACAAAAGAAACAGCACACATCACGGTGCCGAGCCGGTCATTTTGATACGACGTCAGTGGAGGGACACGCTGAGGTTTGGGCTGCATTCAAGTTGATACAAGATCATGACCCCTTTTCAGGTGGATAATAATAGGACCCTTTTCAGGTGGATAATAATAGGACCCTTTTCAGGTGGATAATAATAGGACCCTTTTCAGGTGGATAATAATAGGACCCTTTTCAGGTGGATAATAACAGGACCATTTTCAGTTGGATAATAATAGGACCCTTTTCAGGTGGATAATAATAGGACCATTTTCAGAATAGGACCATTTTCAGAATAGGACCATTTTCAGAATAGGACCATTTTCAGAATAGGACCATTTTCAGAATAGGACCATTTTCAGAATAGGACCATTTTCAGAATAGGACCATTTTCAGGTGGATAATAACAGGACAATTTTCAGGTGGATAATAATAGGACTCTTTTCAGGTGGATAATAATAGGACCATTTTCAGGTGGATAATAATAGGACCATTTTCACTTGATAATAATAGGACCATTTTCAGTTGGATAATAATAGGACC